TTACCTATTTAGCCCCATGTGCATGGAGGACACAGGACAAACAGGAGGCCTCGTGAGCCTTTTGGCCCCCATTGGCATTGGCTGCCAACAGACTACAGGTCAAAACCCTGTATGCCTCCAGCCTTAGGTCCTCTGCAGACTGAATTCACCCCAATCTGGTCTCATTCCCATTTTTCATTGCCTAATGGAATCTCCATCTGGACCTTCTGGCGGCATTCCTCTGACCAAACACTGTGCTACAGATGACGGAGTCCCAGCCAGAAGGCTAGGAGACCTGGGTTCTGCCACCAAGAGGGGGGGGTGTCCTTGGGCAGGTTATTTTGGGTTTCACCATCCTCCTTGGTCAAAATATAAAGGGAAAGCAAGAATCCATTCTGATTCCAAAAGGAATCAATCACCCTCATTTCCCTTCCCCCTTCCAAGAAGTTCCTCCATGCTCTCATGCTGCTAACAATTGCCTTATTCTTCTTCCAGCAAACCAGAACAAAATGTCAGTGTCCAAATTGACTCCTTTCTCTCTCTTTCAAATCCAAGTAGTCACTAAATCCTACTGGATTTGTTGGCAAGCTCACTTGCTTCCATTCCCTCCTCTCCACTGCTACTATCATTCCCTTGATTCATGTCCTAAGCTACCTCCATGAGTTATCCAATAGTCCATCCTCACAAGAAATCCCTCCCTCTCTCTAACCTGTACTTTATAGCTCCAAATCCTCCTGAAAACACAGCTTTCACCATGTCTTATTGATTCTCAAAAACCCTAAATGTCACCGATGTCATACAATTTGAATTCTTTAGCTCTAGATTTCAAAGATTTACATGATCTGACCCCAGTCTGAGATCCCAGGCTCTCCTCTGTTAGTGTCCCCATCCACTCCAAGATTCTAGTCATGCAGGCCCACTACTCTTTGGGCCTGTCTGTCTTTCCAATCTTTCAGCTTCTGCTCCTTTTCTTCCTTCATCTTCCACAAAAAAATGAACTACCCCTTTTCCTCTTTATTGAAGAAAACACTGCAAAGCCAGCCAGTTTAGGGCCCACATTTACCACAACACTTCCTGAACATCTACTAGATAATGAGCCATACACAAGAGCTGAAGCAGCCCAAAGCAGTTCAGAGCATAGAGAGAACTGCAAATAAGTGACTTAGGTAACACAGCAGAGATCTAAATTTGTTGCACTGTGTATATATTAGAAGCAAAGAGTAAAAACGAAGATGGTAAGGAGTTTTCAAGAATTTGATCAGCATCCTGAAGAATTAATAACAGTTCATCCATCTTGCAGAGCAGAGACAACAGATATTTCCAGGGAGAGGAAACATGTGTGCAGAAGCAGGGAGACACATAAAAGCAGAAATGATTGAGTCCCTTGGTTTGGGGGACATTGGAGATGCAGCTGGAGAGCTAAATTAGGGCCAGCCTCTACACTGCCTTGAATGTCTTACAAGAATGTTATATTTTATCCTATCAGACAATCTCATCCTGTTGGTGTCTACAGATGTGTTACAGAAACCAAGATTACTACACAACATAGAACAGGGTGATTAAAAGCACCGTGCACAATGAATGCTTAGCCCTCAGTGTGCATACATGTATAATATGAATGTGACAGAGATACAGAGAGGAAATGAAATTACCAAAGAGTACTAAACCAATACCCTAAGGCCAAAAGAAATCATAAATTTGCTAAAGGCAAAGCTCAGAGTGAGCAGCCCTCTGGAATTTTGAGACCTTAAGGAGACTGAGTTTAAAGCTCAACAGATGGCTCTAGGGCATCATTTCCCAGAAGACTATTTACCGGTTATGTGGAAGATAAGAATAGGCCCCGAGGAGATCCACAAGGTCCAGCAGAGCTGGCTTTAAGAGAAAACATAGCCAGGTGGGTGGCACATACCTGCAATCCCAGCAATTTGGGAAGCTTAGGCAAAAGGATCACAAGTTCAAGTCTAGCCTCAGTAACTCAGCAAGTCCCTAAGCAACTTAGTGAGACCCTATCTCAAAATAAAAATTAAAAAGGGTTGGGGATGTGGGCTGAGGCTGTAGCTCAGTGGCAGAGTGCTTGCCTAGTATGTGTGAGGCACTGGGTTGGATCTTTAGCACTGCATAAAAAAACTAAACAAATAAAGGCATCCTACTGTCCACCTACAAGTATAAAAAAAATTAAAAAGGGTTGGGGACATGGCTCAGTGGTAAAACACCTCTGGGTTCAATCCCTAGTACCCGTCCACCTATACAGACTACAACTCACCTTTCCTATATTCTTGAAAACAGGGACACATAAGTGCCATCAAGCACTAAAATGAAAGCATGATGCTAGAAAACAAAAGTCCAAGGGAAGTGGAACTCTTGAGGAAAGAGGAAGCAGGAAAAATAGTGACTCAGGAAAAAACAAAGCTACCAAGAGTTTTAGCCTAGTTGTGCCCACACCAAATAGTGACTGAGTGTCACATCTTGAATGGAGATGCACAATCTATGGAACTTAATAAATGTTTAAATACCTTGTCTCTTGTGCTTGTATAACTCTACCATCTCATATTTTGTACTAAGGGGATTTTAAGCAGAAGGGTATCATGAACAGATTTGTAATTCAGGAAAAAAAATATCTTATGGTCAAGTAAAAAACAACTTCTAAATAGTACCATTCCTCAATTACAAAGTTAAATTCTCCTAGAACTGCTCCTCCCTCCTCATGTAGTGACTGACACCTCCCACTTCTTAGTCTCCTGGCCTACAGATTCTGTATTTACAGGGTCTCTTGGGTCCCAATTTCACCATTCTCTCAGGTCCCAGATAAGGGCTCATTACTTCTACCCCAAATTAGTCTGCCAGTCTCCTAAGTAGCTTCCCCAGTCTTGCTTCCCAAGCATTGCCAGAGTCCACTACAGCCACTCCTATCAGGCAGTTGTCAGAATCTCCTGGGGGATCTTTTTTACAATATCCCAAACCTACCTAATCTGAACTGTTCCTAAAGCTCCCTCAAGCAAGTCAGTTTGCAAACTATTACTTTAAATTCTTGCTATAGATAATGAAGTGATAGCCACCCTCCCCTGAAAAAGTTAGAAATGCAGAACACCAGATCCCACCTCTGAGCTACCCAATCAAATCTGCATTTGAAGGAGATTTTCAGTGAGTCTTATTGTTAAAGTTTGAGAAGCACTGCTTCTCAAACTTCCACAAAACATTTACTGGATTTTCTGTTTCAGGCTGGGAGTTGGGTCAAGGGTCAAAGTTTCGACTTTGAGCTGCTCACAGAACCATAAGTCAATCCTCTGCTTAAAATCATTTGACTCCCATGCCTTCAGACAAAGTCTGAATGAACTTCTTTCTACACCTGCTGTTTTTGGCCAGCTGGGACCATGTTCCATCTTGTTACCTGCTTTACTGTTAACCACCCACCATAGGGGCCAGGCTGGACTGCTGGCCACTTGTCACTAGTCTGAGCTTGCCTGCCTCTACAGCTTTCACAGCCTAGGTCACTCCTACTCACTCACCTCTGCCTGCAGAAACCTTGGAGAAATCCTTTGAGGTTCATCACTTATACCACCCCTTCCTGAAATTATCCCAGATTTTTTATGCTTAAATGAAATTTCCCCACTTTGTTCCTACCTCCTTCATGTAATTAATCTTACTTCACTTAGTCCTACAGACATAGCCCATCTATGTTAGCTACTGCAGTAAAGAGATCATGATACTCAGCTTGTTTCCCTAGTAGCAACAAGCTAATGACTAGTACATTACCAAATCTCAAAGTAACACTATTAATGTTATATAAGGGATGGGAGTCTAAATGTGCTTTCAGTAGTAAAGCACATTTGCCTAGCATGTGCAAGGCCCTGGGGTTGAAACCCAGCACCACACACACATACACACATACACACACAAAAAAAAATCCAGGATGAATGCAATAGTGAAAGACTCACCAATCTCCCTTGTCTCTCACTTCAAGATCAATTAAATATAAATTTAAGCAGAGAAAAATAATTTATAAATCAGATAACATTTAAAATGAATTGTCTATAACTATACTGAATATACTAATACATGAGAGTATGACTATCCTAATACATGAAAGTATGACTATGACTATACCACTAATAAAAGACTAAAGATGAATTATGTCTGCTGTTAACTACCTTTCTGTAGTTGAACATTTGACTTCACAAAACAACATTTGTAAACATAGTAGTTTTGTTTTATAATCAATTAATGAAGGGTAGAGGAAGGAGAGAGAAATAGAAAGAAACAGACCAACCAAAATTTGGAAGGGGAAACAGATCTCTACCAAATATCCAGCTGCCTTAAAAGATAAAATATAATCGGATTTTCACTGACTAGAATGCCTGTTTTGATCCTACCCAAATCCCAAGTCTCGGGTCTTTAAATATATAATCTTATTTTCTTCTGAAGGAAAACTACCAGTCTGGAGTTGGCATGTCAAGCGGGAAGGAGGGTGCATTCTTAAATAGGACCATCCCCATATTGCAGTCTACTGGGAATCAGCGGCTTGGGCTTTTGAAACAAGCATGCTGCATTTTTGCAATTACAATATAGCATTGGTCTTAGCCCGGGCATTGCTTCTGGACACACACTTTTTTGAACAAAGATTTGCCTGGGTGAACAATATTAAAGCTGTCATACCGACTTGGGCTCTCTAGTTTACACTGAACGCTGAAGTAACCACCAACTCCGGCATCTCCAGAACTATCCTGGCACCTGTGAGAGCGCGGGCTGTCTGCGGATTCTGGGCAAAGCGGGGTAAAGATCCCAAGCAAACCCATAGGAGTTATACCCTCCTCCGGTCTTCTGGCCAGAGAAAGGGAAAGGGTTCCGGTCCGCTCGCCTGGGACACCTTTCCGGCCCAAAGAGGCACAGACCTCACGCCCCGTGTGGTTGTTGGATCTAGAGGATCTGTGTCCCCTGGCAATGCCCCTGTGGGGGAATCCCTTTCCGGACAGCGGAGAGCCCCTGTCACCTGGGGGAAGTTCACCTGAGGGAAGCCCACTGACCTGGATGTGGGACCGCCGCTTCTCTCCGGGCGGATCAGGTGTGCGGGCCGCTCCTGTGCCCCTCCCACTCCGAACAGGAGAGCGGAAAACTCAGTTGCAGGCCACCGTCCCACCGACCAACCGTCTGACCAACCAGCAGACCGACCGGCAGCCGCCGGGTCCCGCACCCACGTGACGGAGGCGGAGGCCCCGAGAGAAGCTCGTCCCTGAGCGTCCCTCTCCCACCCCTGGAATCTCCTCCTAAGGCCGCCACTCCGCCTCCCTCTCGGGAACCACAGCCGGCCTCTGGGACCCGTCCGCTGCCGTTCCAGTTCCCCAGGGACCTGCCTCATCTCCCCCGCCCCCTGGGCCGCGCTCCGCGTGCAGGCTCCAAGCCCCGCCTCTCCCGGAGGACCACGCCCCTCCCGGGCCCCGCCCCGCTCGCTCCACCTCCTCCTCCCAGACCCTTCCGGCTGCTGGGCCCCTGGGCAGTTCTCCGTGTTGGTGCTCCTGGCCTCTGGGGTTTCGGTAGCCCCTCAGGACCGCTCCTGCGACGCAAGGAGTAAAACTGAAGAAGCAGGAAGACACTCTGCAGAGAACTGCAGGGAGAGAAACACCGAAAAACTTACTAGGGGCACACTCAGCGCAGCAACCCTTGGGACGTCTGTACTTCCCCCACCCAGTGAGCGATGCAATAGAAATTGAGGTTGGCCTGAGGAGAGCCTCTTTCCTTGTCTGTGAGCCCCGCCCATCCCACGGAATCTGCATATTGGCAGGCTCTGTCCTGGCCCACCTTAGGTCCGGTTGTGCTCTAACCCCGCGACCTGGGGTGGAGGTCCCTCTAGTGGTTGGTGGCGAACGATAGCTCTGTGCCAGGTCTTTCGAATATCTGAGGACAAGGAGCACTTCCTGGGCCCAGCACCAAGGTCAGGTACCTTAGGTCCAAGAAAAGCTTTGGCAATGTCTGACCACAAAGAATGATTTCTTCAATCGAGAGTTCTGAGCCCTAGAGACCGATTCCAACATCGACCCCCAGTGTGCAACCTGAAGTCACACCACCAGTTGGTTGCTGTGCCTGGGCTTACAGGGACAGGCTGCTCAATTCAGCTGATTAAAATCCTCCGTGAGCCTCAGATGGCAGCGACACCAGGAACTCTGGCACAGTCCACAGCTTTGGCAGGAGTCACTTACAGCTCTGGCCTCCGGTTCTTTACAGGCTGGAGAGTTGGCAGACTCCATGGGACACATCTTTTTTCAAACCAAATTTACCCTCGTGGTTTGAAATTAACAGTGTGCCCAGAGACTTGTACACGTGAATAGAACATAAGCCACACTGGCAAATAGGAGACGTGTGGTCACTGCAGGAACCTAGCCAGCAGCAGATCAAGGGCAAAGCCAGCAGAGGAAGGCTGAGGCCCACAAGAGTTGTGTTACAGCAAGACACCCTTCAGTTCTATTTTACTTCCTTAAAATAGCAGCAGAGAAACTTTGATAAATGGTGTCTGCCACAGTTCACACAAGTTCATGGGTGTTTCCAAGTCCCACATGTATTGCCCCAGGGAACCCACTGTCCTTACCCCAGCCCCCAGAAAATGCTAGTCTGTTCTTAGAACTATACAATTACTTTTTTTTTTTTTAATTCTGGGGTGGAACCCAAGACCTCATGCCCACAGGGAGAGCATCTATCACTCTGCTACACCCCCAATTTAACCATTACTTTTAGAAATGTAAAAAAGTAACTGGCTAACTTATCTGCACTTTGGAACCACCTTGCAGGGAAGGGGCTTAAAAAATAATGATGTCTATGACCCACCCCTAGAGGGTCTAATATAATGATCTAGGGGTGTGGCCTGGATATTAGGAATCTTAAAGTTCCCCAGCTCTGGCTATAGTTCTGGTATGGGTCACCAGGACATCAGTTCTCATATAAATCCAACAAGAGACCTCAGAGATGAAAAGTTCACCTGAGAAACCCAAGAAGATGTTCCCCTGCCTGTTTTCATGCAGGGGCTCTCTCTTGTTGATAACTCCACTCTACTCTCCATTGCAAGGCAGGCTACTTTCTTTTTTTTTAACATTTATTTTTTAGTTTTAGGTGGACACAATATCTCTATTTTATTTTTATGCGATGTTGAGGATCGAACCCAGTGCCCCGCGCATGCCAGGCGAGCGTGCTACCACTTGAGCCACATCCCCAGCCCAGGCCACTTTCTTTATATCTGTGAGATAGGTAATGTTACTTTCCCACAGACAGGCCCCAGGCCCACGGGGTGGATAATAACACTACAATTATTTATTTATACCTACCTCATTTCACAATGGATTTGGGCTCTCTGTACTGTTCTGTTAGAACTGTGGGTAATTACACTGTATCTGTAGGTTGAGTCCTTCTTTTCTGCCACAGATCTACTCAAATGCTACAGGGGAGAAAAACCTCTTTTCACTGCCCATGGTCCTGGCCTGGACTTGGCAAAGACCAGGGAACAGCTGCAAGCACACAAAGCAAGCCCTCTCATGTGACCAACCTGGAAAGACAGGAACCTCAGCACATGACACAGACTGGCACCACAGCCTGCACTTGTGACCCAAACTCAGCCGAATTAGACACACACACATGGGAACCACTTTGAAGCCCCTCTCAAGAGGCATGCTGCCCTCTGTGCCACACGGCATGCCTGCTGTGGTAGACAGTTGCTTGCCTGTTACCTGGCTTCCTTCCAGATTCCAGAATATTAACCAAGGTTCTCTGTGTATTGGGGATTGTTCACAGTAAACTCAACACAGGCAGCACTCCCTAAAAGCTTTCATGATGAGGGTATATAGGCAAATATAACCTGATGAGCTTATTTGCTTAGTGTTACTTTTATTGCAAAAGAGAGAAGCAAATGACAGTAAGGCAGGATGAGGTAGAGGTGGTGTCCTCACCCTTAAGCTGGCTTTCTGGAGGAAGTAGCTTTTGAAAGACCTATAAGAAGGTCTTGTGCAGACGTGAAAACTGACTTAAGAGGGAGACTATTATTTTTAGACTGAACTATGAACACACTGATTATAAATGGCTGGGTGAACAAAAATAAATATTTGATGCTTCCTTGGGCAATGGAAGGACTATGAGATTTGTAGCAGTTTCTAGCTCTTTCATTTTGTGGTTGTACTACTTTCAACAACTCACCTAGACCCTTTCTTATCCTGTAGAATGGCAATTGTAAAGACTTGCTCACATCTCACAGAGTGAGAATTAAATAATATGCAAATACTTTGCAACTAAAAAGTAGTATTCAGATGTTAATGTTTTTAACTTTATTATAATATTTACTTCACTTGGTAGAAAGGCAAGACTAGGGGAAATAAAGATTAAACATCAATAAGAAATAGTACTTTCGTTGGGCAGTGAAAAATGAAAAAAATATTTATGGGCATTTGGGAAAGACAGGAGAGGAGTCTGAGTATCTGTGGGGACATATGATTCTTACTGTTAAGGGATAAAAGCAGAGTTAAAGCAAATGCTGGAGAACAAAAAAGAAAAGGCTAGAAGTCAGCAGGACCAGAATGTAGCTGGCCACGAGGGCCAGGACATTTGGATGAGTAATGGACTTTGCTGAAAATTCTCCAATGATGGACTCTCCTCTATGTTCTTGGAAGATTCCCTAATGCATTGCCACCTGGGAAAGGATGCATATGTATTCCCACTTCTACAACCTATTCCTGTGTGTGACCAGAGTGATACTACATTGTGAAGAGGTTGTGGTCTCAGTGTCCCAGAGAGCAGTTGCCAAAGCCATGATGTTACTCTCCCTCCCTCCCAGTTGCAACATGTTACTCCAGAGGCAGCTTTCTCTTTGTCTGGAGTCTGTAAAGGATCTGGTTTCCTTCATTCCAGGCATAGAGCTGCTTATCTCTGGGATTGTAATGGATCATGGAATGGCTTCTTGGCCGCCTGGGGAAGAACAAGTTGGACAGATTCTCCTCCCTGATAGTGTCCAGTGGATCATAGACGCAGGTGATGCGATGCGGGCCCTGGCCACCAGAACTGTAGACTACATAGAGAACCCCACACATGAGGAACGAGGCTTCAGCATCCTGGCTTCTGCAAGGAGTATCCCATGAGTGCTCCACTCCCAGTGTGCCAGGCTCAATTTTTGTGAGAACCAAATGGCCTTGGATGCCTGGACCTGAGTGAATGGCCCAGAGCCCATGCTCATCCACAGCCAGGTCAATGTAAGTGAAAGGAGAGTGCTGGTAGACCAGTGCCCGGCCTGCCCCTCCTGGGAGCAGCATTCGATCTTCTACAGTCCTCTTCTGCAGATTATATTTGATTATCTCATTTGAAGTCCCTTGGCTGTGAAAAAATAGAAAACCTCTGTAGATCACCTGGCCTGATCCCTGCCAGGAAAGTGGTAGGTTTAGCTTCCGGGGAGGGGGTTTGGTGCTGTCCTCCATGAATGCCCGCATGTTTGCAAATTCCCAAACAGTGTTGTTTCTGGATCCAATTAAGAAATATACTTTTGGAGAGTCACTGCCAGCATCTTTCATCCAAGAGCCATCTGTGTCAATAGTCTTCTTCACTATTTTTAGAGACTTTATATTCGTCAGCATGTTATCACAGCCTGGCCAAACAGGAGAAAAAGGAGAAATTATTTAACATGAGATGTTTACTTTTGTGGAAGACTTACTATGCCTGGAATATCCTGTTTCCTTTCAGTTCTAATAGTGATAGGGAAAATTCTCAAGTCTACTATAAAATTATGGTCCTTAAAAGAAGAGTTCTCCTTAGGGAAATCCTAGGGCAAAAATGGAACACAGGTAAACATTTCATGTTTTTCAGATAAAATTCATTGAAATTCCAGCATTAAGCCAAGATCACTCTTTCATCTCTTATTTTTACAGATTGATTTTTCCCCATATGGTTCAGAATAAATTTATTACATGAGTTATGATATGATTCAATGATGAGTTATGATATGATTCAACGAATCAGAGACTAAATGAAGAATGGGTCTTTGGTAAGACAGTTGCTGTCCAGTTTCAAAAGTTAGCCATTTTATTCACTTCAGGATATAAGCAGCCACTTGCTGTGTCAGAGACCCTTATCATTCAAGAGTACATAGAATTGGCACAGTGAGAATGACATAGGTGTGAAGACATGTAATTCAGTTCTGTTTACCAAGATTTTACTGGGTATCTACTGTGTATTTAGCTTACAAGCTTCTCAAAAGAGTGATAAGATTTGAGGATAAATATATATATATATATATATTGGTCCTAAACCATGAGGAGATATCTTCTATTGAAGGATTCTGGCATTCTGAAAAATTCTTAACATTGCTGCAACATTGTAAGAGCTCAAATCATCCATTTGTGAATTTATGG